CCGCCTCCCTCCTGCCAGGGCGCGCCTCCGCCGCTGCCGTGCAGGCGGGGGGCGTGTGGCAGCGCCGGGGGGCGGTCCGAGAGGCCCGGGCCGCGCCGCCTCTGCACGGGGGGGCTCCGCCCGCGCGCGCCCCGAAGCTCGGGACCTACGCGTCTGACCACAGCGTACTCCGCTGCTCAGGCGCTGGCGTGCAGAAGCTCCGCACGCCGCACACGTCAGCATCGCCCCGTCGGGAATCCGCGCCGCGGGCAGCCAGCACAGTCGCCTCAAAAAGCGAGCTGCTGCTGCGGGGATTCGAGGCGGGGGACGACAACGGAACTGCTCCTCCCCGTACCCCGCACGTCGCGATTCTTTCGCAACGGGGTCCCCGAAAGTCTCGACCCACCCTCTTTGCCCGCGGCCTTGCTGTTCATACTGAACTTGTATGGGCCCAGGCTCCATGCGAGGGCCCCCAGCAACACACCTGCCAGAAACCTTCCGTCATGTTTTTCTTGCTCTCGATGCGAGGGGCTATGGGCCCACCTCCTCCTGGAATGAAAACACGGGTCCTCGAGAAAGCAGGTCCTGGACCCCAGGGTTCCCAAATGTTTAGCAACTGATGTTTCACCCCGAGCAGGCGTTTGGAAGTCCAGGGGCCTGGGGAGGGCCTAGGGAGTCCGCGGATGGAGAGGCTGATCCAGGATACATTTCCTTCGGGGCACCTTTCCAGCATGGCACCTCCTCCTCCTCCTCCTCCGCCTCCTCCCCCGCCTCCTTCTTTCTCCTCCGCCTCCTTCTTTCTCTTCCTCCTCCTCCTCCTCCGCCTCCTCCTCCTCCTCCGCCTCCGCCTCCGCCTCCTCCTCCTCCTCCTCCTCCTCCTCCTCCTCCTCCTCCGCCGCCTGATCCCGGCCACAGGGCGAAAGTGGCTGTGTTCAAGAGCGCCCTCTGATGCGCAGCTTCAGAAGGGGCACGAGAGGTGGGGGGTTGGGGCCAAGCTCCAGCGTGCAGGCCGCTGAACAGAGCATCGCACACTCAGCGACCAGGGCACTCCTGGTGGGCCCACGCACCACGCGGGGCCCCCTCCGGCGCAGGGCCCACCTCTTACCTGCCCCGGCGCCTCCCTCGGCATGTGCAGGGCGCCGCTCCTCGGGGGGGCACCACGGGCCCCGGCTCCCGAGGCTCCACGAGCCAGCTGCTCACCGTCCTGGGCCGCCGTGTGTCCGCCCGCCAGCCAGCATCCCCGCCCGAGGAGGAGGGGGCCCCGCCCGGTGGCGAAGGGCCCGCTGCTCGCGTGGCCGCTGCCCCGCACTCGGGGAGCCGCTCCTCGGGCCACCGGGCCACCAGGCCCCCCGAGGCTTCTCTCTGCTGCGGGCCCGCTGCTCCGGCCAGCCCCCCGCCGGGGGGCCCGTCCGGAGGCCCACGGTCCGCGCCAAGAGCAGGGACCGCTCGCCGCGGGGACCGCTGGCCCCCGGGGAGCACCAAAGAGCACCGAGGCTGCTGCTCTGCACCTTTTGGGGGTGCGCGCTCCGACCAAAACTTGGGCGACTCCAGCCGCGGCGACGAAGGGGCTTCCAGGGCGCGCAGCGGTGTCGGCACCCTTTCTCCTCCTCGGAACTGCATGGCCACACGTCGCGAACAAAACACTGCAAGTGAGAATCACGACCGGAGAGCCCCACAGACCGTATCTTTCTGCGGCATTTCTCTCCAGCCGCATCGATCTGTGAGAGTCCGGGGCCCGAAACCGGGCGATAAGGCACCGCGCGAAAGAAAAACGCAACGCCCGAAAACAAGAACTGCCCCCCCCCCCACACCCACCCACCCACCCACCCAACCCCTGCCGTGAAGGCCACGGGTCCTGAGGGGAGCGGGTCCTGGAACCCGGGGCCTTCCACCAGGGCCAGTCCTTCATACTGAGCCGTTCTCTAACAGTCCTGGGGCCCGTGGAGGGCCCCAAGAAGCCCAACACGGCGGAAAACCTCGGGACCCGCTTCCCTCAGAACCCGCTTCCTTCATCAAGGAAGGAGAAAACACACAGAATCGTCGAGCCCCATGAAAATAAAGGAAAACTATATTGGCAGTGGGGGAGAACGAGCAAATCCAGAACATCTGGAAACATATGTAGAATCCTTGTCTGTGTGCGTATTTGTCTGTGTGTCCCTGTTGGGTATGGACCGACCGTCCCAGCAGTCCTAAAGACCTACCACTGCATTTTCGTCAACCCCAAAGATGTTTCAAAAACAAAAACAAGCTTCTCATAAAATGATCCCTACGTCTTAAAACAAAGCAGCCCAAACGAGACATGCACTCTAAGAACATCTCGTGCAAGCCACAACAAAATGCTTAGAACATTTTCTGGCGGGCCACACGCAAGCCAGGACGTGCGTATCTGCCTTTGTGTCCATGTGGGCCTTGGGAGGAGGAGGAGGAGGAGGAGGAGGAGGAGGAGGAGGAGGAGGAGGAGGAGAGGAGGAGGAGGAGGAGGAGGAGGAGGAGGAGGGAGGAGGGAGGAGTGGGGGCGAGGAGGAGGAGGAGGAGGAGGGAGGAGGAGGAGGAGGAGGAGGAGGAGGAGAGGAGGAGGAGGATGGGGAAGAGGAGGAAGAGGGGGAGGAGGAGGAAGGAGGAGGGGGATGGGGGAAGAGAGGAGGAGGGGGACGAGGAGGAGGAGGAGGAGGAGCGTGGCGACCCCCCCTTGCGGGCCTCGCGCGGCCGCCCCGTCAGCCACAGACAGGCGGCCCGGCGCTCCCGGAGGTCCTCGCCGCCGCTGGCGGCCTCCAGGCCGTCCAGCACCGCCAGCGCCCGCAGCGCGGCCTGGCGCGAGACCGCCGAGCGGCGCGGCCAGCGGTGCGCCCGCCACTCCTCTCGGGGCACCGCCAGTCCCTGAGGTCCTGGCGTCGCCATGTTTTCGAGCCAGGCGTTCTCGCCCCACTTCGGGCCCCGGGGGCCCCCACGGATCGATGCGGCTCGGAAAACGACGCAGGAAGATGGGGTCCGGGGCTCTGGCTGTGTGTGTGTGTGTGTTTTTTGTTATTTGTTTTTGCGAAGCTGCATTTGTTGGCAACGTCGGATCTCAGGGGTGGGCGGCGCGCCTGGGGGGGAAGCGAGAAACTCAGAAGGCTCAGAGGATCCCTGGCCTTCCGGGAAGTTTTCGGAGCCTTCCCCGAAGACGCCGGAGAACTTTTCCTCGGAAGGCGCGAGGGGCTCCTGAGAAGTCCCGCTGCCTTCTGAGAAGACCTTCTCCCTCTCGCTTCCCCTCCTGGCTCGCCGCCGAACTCCTCTCGGGGACCGACGGGGGGCACCCCTGGAGTAAGATCGGCTGCGCGCAAGAATGGCGCGGCTCCAAGGGGCCGTGGGGAGTCCAGCTCCAAGCGTGCAGGCCAGTGCAACAGCACCGCTCCCAGCGACGGGGGGGGGCCCTCAGGTGTGCCCGCCGCTCCTGTCGTGCCATGTTTGGGCGCCCTTCGGGCCCCGCCCCAGCGCGGTGTGGTACGTCGTGGGTCGGCCCTGAAGGCCGACGGGCTGTGCACCGTGCTATGCCTGTGCCGAGGACACGTCGAGGACCGAGGGGTCCTCCCTGAGAGGAGAGCGGCTATACGCGCAAGGGTGGCCCTGGGCTTGGGCCGGGCATGTCCTCCTACAGGCGGATTTTGAGCGGCAGTTCAAACATAGTCAAACCAACAACTCAAGAGCAGTCAACAATAGTCGAACCATCGGGCCCCGGCTATGTTCTGCCTCTTTTTTGGGATACTCCTCCTGCAGAGGGGCACGACCGACTTAACCCTGGGCAAGAGCGACCTTTGGTGCGCGGCTTGCCGATCGCTGCATGCAGTGCAACAATGACGGCCTGTGCGCTTTGGTTTGACCCTCCCGCGCCCCCTAAGAAGCCGCGCGCTAAAGGTCACTCCGGCGGAGGGTCACTCTTACGCGTAGCCGATGAGATCGAGGATGGACAGAACCCCCTTTAGTGAAACGCGGTTTAGAGAAAACGACCTCGGGCCTAAACCTGGCGGGCGCAAGCCTAGAAAATGACGGCCGCAACGCCCTCTCGAGAACCGTAAACGGACAATTCATTAATCGACGTATCAGGGTGGGGGCTCTGTCCACTCCCAATAAGATGAGGCCATGACAAGGACAACATCGGACCAGGTTCAATCGGGGATCTCTGAGATCTGGCGGTTCTGGAGGATGTGTTGGGCGCCGCTGCCTTCTCAAAGCGCCCCAGAACGCTCTAAAAGCGTTCTGGAACGCTCTGGAAAGATTTTTCCGTGTCCTAGCCCCGCTCGAACAACATGCGATTTTGCCTTGTTTCGGGCCCCCGGACACTCACGGATTGATTTAGCTCGAGAACTGCCGCAGAAAGATGGGGTCCGGGGATTCGGTCGATTTTGTTGTATTTGTGTAGTGTTGGATTTTTTCGTGGCGTCCGATCTCAGGGATCGAGGTTTTGTCTGCTCTTCGGCCTGTCGCTTCGTCATCGTCGCCCGCGGCGATCGAAGGATCATATCATTCTGAGGAGGGAGCGTCGTCGTCGCCAGCGGCGATCGAGGGATCATATAATTCAAAGGGGGGGTACCGAAACTGCTAACTATCGCCACGGCCTGGCCAGAACGCACCCAGGAGAGGTCCTGGGAGTGGCGGTATATTTGTTTTCTCGGTCGTCGAGGGGTCGGAGGAACGAGATTTTTGCGCGCCCTTCGGCTCGTCGCTTCGTCGTCGTCCGCGGCGACGGCGTTGGCACGGACATCGCCGTCGCCCCCGCCGCCACGACTCGACGAGGAAGGAAGGGATAGAGGCTCGAATGGTCGTATGATCGCAGGATCGAGTGACCAAGGATAATTGGAATCTTCGCTCTATTCGGGCCTCCAGGAAACTCCTCGCCGCCACGGCTGGCTTTCCATCGTGAATTTTCCTCGAGGAGAGGTCTGAGAAGCCACTCCTCGACAGCACTGCAAACTGACATTGCGTGGGCTTCCGCCGACGCCCCCTTACACTGGGGGCGGGAAGGCGTGTGAGGTGCTTCCCCCTCCCAGGGGGCACGTTTTGGAGACGGGGGCTCTTGGGAGCTCGGCAACGCAACTCCTGGGCCGTCACGCGTCCACGGCCTCAGGATCCCCGCTCCAGCCCCTCCAAGATGCCCAAGGTGCCTTCCAAGACTGCTCCAGAGAAGGTCTCCACGCTTCAATACGGTCTCGAGAAGAGCTCGGAAGGTCCTAACTAGGAGGTCCCAGAAAGAAGCGCAGGCACCCTAAATCATCGAACACCGAAGGTTTCGATGATTTCGATGTCCTGGTCTATCGCGTCCAGGCGCCTCCGAGAAAGTCTGGGCAACCTCCAGAAAGCTCTTGGGTAACCCACCGTACCCGAGGTGTTGTTTCAATATGGCCCCGAACGGCCCCAGAGCCTCCCGGGTGGTCTCCAAAACAGTTTCCAAATGAGTCCCAGGCGGCCCGAAACCGCCCGCCCCAAGACTGCCCCAAGACTCACCCCCGCTGGGAATATCCGAAACGACCCCGAGACCCTCAACGTGCCGCCGAAATGGCTCCAAGAGGCCGTGCCCGAGATGCCCCAATACAGCCCCAAAAGCGCCCAACAGACAGCCTGCAATTAGGTCGGGCATATCCTCCTACATGCGGGATTTGGAAGCAGTCAAAAAATAGCCAAACAATGAGCAAGAAGGGCCAGAAGAGCACGAACTATCGTCACCAAACTATTTCTTACGATTGTTGAACTCTCCTCCTGTAGAGGGACATGCCGGACTTGCCCCTACAAGCCCCCGCGAAGGCCACAAGACAGGCCCGAATGTTCGGTCTCAAGCGGGTCAAACCCAACCCGCTAAGCATACACTGATTGGGAAAGCCGCGTGCCGAATTGCACCCTGGGGCGTGCTCCTCGTGCTGGCCATTCTTCCTCCTCCCTCCTCCACCTCCTCCTCCTCCTCTTTCCCAACTCCGCCACTCGGGGTTCCTACGCTCACCTGCTCGCGTTCCTCCTCCTCCTCCTCCTCCTCCTTCTCTCCTCCTCCTCCCGTGCTGTCTGTTCTCACCAAGGCCACCCTTCACCGAAGCCGCAACAAATTAAAGTGCACTCCGCAGCCCTCGGACCCACACCGAAACCAGCCACTGGAATTACTGCCTGCACCTGGCGACCCCGAGTGACTCGTAAAACCCTCTGGTGGTCGGCGAGATGGCGTAGCAGTCTCTTGCATCCGCCCGCCCACCTGGCTGAGGGGCCTGCGGGATTTCACTGTGAGGGTGTGGTTGTTATGCCCAACTCAGCCTCTCGTCCTCCTGCGCCTCGCTCTCACCTCCCCGCCCCGCGGCCGTCTCGGATCGCAAGGGCCCTTGAGCTGTATGGCGCGCCGGCAGCGGGCGGGCGCGAGCCCCCGTGCAAGGAAAGAGGCCGTGCTCTCTCTCTCTCTCTCTCTCTCAGCTCGGGCCCCTCCATTTGCACATCGTGTCTCTCTGTATCTTCCATACAGCTGCTGCAGTGCGTTCCACAGAGGGCCCCACTCAAGGCTTTAAGCTTAAGTCGGGCGTGTCCCCCTACAGAGGGATTTTCGACGACAAATAAGAAATACCCAGAAAATGCCCCCAAATGGTAAAACAAATTGTCCCCAGATTTTTTTCACTACTTTTGAATTTTCCTCCTGTAGAGGGACAGGCCCGACTTAAGTCTCCCTGTGTATCCCATACAGCTGCTGCAGTGCGTGCCACAGAGGGCCCCACTCAAGGCTTTAAGCCCTCCCCTCTGCCCTCCCCACAGCCGGGCTCGGCCCTTCCGCCGCCCGCTGCGGCGCCCGCCCCACTTCGGCCCCCCGACAACGGCTTCCAGAAGGCATAGAAGACGACCTCGAGCTTCATACCATTCCCATAACGCGCTTTCGGGGCGCACTGTTTAGCTCCGTTTCGGCATGTTGGGGCCCCCTGCTCGGCCTCCCACGCTGGCGTCTGGGCGTCACCAGAACGACTCTCGGGCCCACCTTCGCCCGCGCTGGAAACTTCAAACACATAGCACGCTCTGCCGCGTTTTCGGCGACTCCAAGGTGACTTCAGCCTCGCTGGAGGTCATCCGGAGCTCTCTTATCGCGTATCTTCGGGCTCGCGCATTGTTTCTTTCACCATTGAACCTTCGACGCCTTCGATGTGCGCTCTTGGATCGATGGTATGACGCTCCTGGGTCTAAATTGAACATCTCGGCCCTGTTTTCACGGTGTTCCGACGGGGCCGGCGAGCAACCACGGAGGTTGTTGACTCTGAGGGCCCTTCTCCTGGCCCTCTTTGGCCCTCGTTGGCGCCCATTGGGCCGTCTTCGAGCCGTCCTGGGTCAGTTTGGGGTAATCTTCTGGGTATGTCTGGCCTCGATGGACAAATAATCCGAATCAAGAGAGCCTAAATCCATGTCACTGATCCGCTGGAAATGCTGACGGGCACCCATCGCCCACACGGCATACCTGAACACACTCGGTGGTGGGATGGAGAAGGAGTGGGGCGCAACAAACACACACACACACACACACACACACACACACACACACACACACACACACACCACACAACACACAACACACAACACACAACACACAACACACAACACACAACACACAACACACAACACACAACACACAACACACAACACACAACACACAACACACAACACACAACACACAACACACAACACACAACACACAACACACAACACACAAACACACAACACACAACACACAACACACACACAACACACAACACACAACACACAACACACAACACACAACACACAACACACAACACACAACACACAACACACAACACACAAAACACACAACACACAACACACACAACACACAACACACAACACACAACACACAACACACAACACACAACACACAACACACAACACACAACACACACACACACATCACACACACACACACACACACACATCACACACACACACACACATCACACACACACACCTGCGGGAAGGTGTTGGCCTTTTGGGGGGAATGCAGCCGCCGTGCTACCAGAAGTAGCAGCACGCAGAGAGCGAAGGGAGCTTTCCCGACCACGGCGAGCCTCGGCCACGGGGGGGACCCCAAACCTTGGCCTGAGGCATGGCCCGAGAACCAGCAGCCCCTCCCAAACCCAACAGAAGTGGTCCTTACCCCAACGCCTTCACCGCAGCCTTATCCCGTCTTTGGGGGCCCCAAGGATACACACCACCACCACGTCGATTCCTCCTCCCTCCCCCATCCTCCTCTTCCTCTCCTCTTCCCGGGGAGAGGGAGGGGGCGAGAGAGGTGGTGGCGGTGTACCTTTTTGGGCCCCCGAGCCTTGGAGTCCTCCTCGCCTCTCCTGGCGAGGACCGAGATGAGCAGGCGGCGAGCGCGCAGCGTCCCCATCAATCTTCCGGACCTCCGCGCGCCGGCCTCTCGGGCCGCCGCGCCCCCCCCCCCCCCGCACGCGCCTCTCGGGGGCGCAGCGGGCGCCGAGGAACTCTGGGCAGACGCGTCTTGCTTTGAGTCGGGCCTGTCCCTCTACAGGGGGAATGGTCAAGAATGCACAAAAAAAATATGGGGACTATTTTTTGTGCATTCTTGACCATTTTGGTGTATGTTGGGCCTATTCTTCATTTTTCGTCGACAATCCCCCTGCAGGGGGACACGCCCGACTTAAGTCTTGCCCTGTCTCGCCAACAATAATCTAAAAATGATATGGGAACTATTCTTTGAATATGTTTTGCCCTTTGGGGGTATTTTGGGGGTATTTTTCTTTTTCGTCGACAATCCCCCTGCAGGGGGACACGCCCGACTTACGTCTTGCCCTGTCTCGCCAACAATAATCTAAAAATGATATGGGAACTATTATTTGAATATGTTTTGACCTTTGGGGGTATTTGGGGGTATTTTTCTTTTTCGTCGACAATCCCCCTGCAGGGGGACACGCCCGACTTACGTCTTGCCCTGTCTCGCCACGGCGCTCCCTGGCGGGCCGCCTGCGGAGGCCCGTCCTCCCACGCACACGCGCGCTCGAGATCTGCGCCGGCCGAGCGTGCTGCGACGCCCGGGGGGCGCTCTCTTCCCCCCTGCGGCCTCGCCTCGCCTTCCCCCTGGGTAGGCGTCCATCCACTCGTCCTCTGCCTGCCCGAGGAGCAGCTTCCACGCCTCATCGGTGCAACTGCCGAACAGCACATGCTGCTCTTCACCGCCTGCACCCTGGCCCATGTCGAATGCCTCTTGGACGCCGCTCCTCCGAGTGGAGCGGTCGCGTGGCAGCCCCTGGCTTGGGGGCGGAGGAGATGAGGAACGCCAGACTTGTGTCGGGCGTGTCCCCCTCCAGGGGGATTTCCGACGAAAAATTCAATATCCCAGTGCGACCCTACCTAGGAGTTGGAGCCCCTAGGAAAGCAGCATTAGTAGTAACAGTAAAGCTAAGCTAAAGCTAAGCTAAATCTAAGCTAAAGCTAAGCTAAAGCTAAGCTAAAGCTAAGCTGAAGCTAAGCTAAAGCTAAGCAAAAGCTAAGGCTCAGCTAAAGCTCAGCTAACGCTCAGCTAAAGCTAAGCTAAAGCTGAGCTAAAGCTAAAGCTAAATCTAAAGCTAAAACTAAAGCTAAAGCTCCCAAGGGACTGGGGGAACCGCGGGGCGGATACTGGGGGAACCGCCCGGGGCGAGTTGCACTGCCCGGCCCTTTAAGCAGACCGAGTAAGAACCCTTCTAGGCAGAGCCTAGGTAGGGAAAAATACTCCAGAAGAAACTCCCCCCAAAAGGTCCTACAATACGTCCAAAATAATCCCCAGGCTATTTTTTACTACTTGTGGACTATTTTGGGGTATCTTTGTATTTTTCGTTGAAAATCCTCCTGTAGGGGGACAGGCCCGACTTACCGCCAGACGACTGCATCTCACCACGGCGAGGCAAGCACAACAGCGTGGGGCGGAGGCTCGCCCGGCAGAACGGGAGCGCCGCACGGGCCGACCTGCCATCAGCACACTCATGCCATAAAGTGTGACCTCAATTCGCCGTTTGTGTCCCGCCGTTTGCTTCTACCCCTTGCTTGGATCCGAATCGGGCCGCTGGCCAAAACGTGGCGCCGGGGCTCCTCGGAGTCCCCGCCAGCGGTGTCCCCGGCGCTCTTGTCCGCCAGCAGCGCGTCCACCACGCAGAGGTGCAGGTCGAAGTGGCTCTCCGCAGGGTGCGCGGTGACCTTTGGACACTGGAAGATCGAATACATCCAACGTCCAAAAAAGAACAGAAACTCTTGAGCGACGAGAAGAGACGGGTCTTACGTGAGATGGCATGGCGACCTCATGCGGCGGCTTACGCGAGCCGCCAGTGCGGCACACCACGTGGAGAAGAAGGTGCTTACCCGCGACCTTGCGCGGGCAACTTACGCGCCAATGTCAGCACAATCGAGCCCGTGCTTTTGCTGGCGTCGCTCGCTTGTCTGCGATTTTTGTCGCAGAGCGCGGCGTCTGGAGGCCGCTTCGGGTGGCCAGGGTTACGTTGTTCCCATCCCACTTAAAGACCACATCCCAGAAATAATTTCGAGCACACTGAAAATCAAAAGAGTGTCGAAACAGTGTCGGGCGAGTGTCTCCCAAGGCCAGAGACGTGAACACCCTTGAGTCTCGGTACTTTTTGTTGACGCTCGACATTCTTTCTGGTGGTCAAAGCTGAAGTAGGTTGGTGCATCATAAGGACAGGGCCATCAGACATCAATCCGGGATGAGAACACGGGTCGCCGTGGAGCAATGGAGAGAAGTCCAGGGCGCAAAGCTGGTATAACAGAACCCGCGCGTCGGACCGTGGACCCGGGATGGGAGACCTCAAGGGGCCCAAGGACACACAAATAGATACACACAAATAAGAGGATTCCCCATATTTTCCCAGATGTTCTGGGTTCTTGTTTTCCCGCCCAGTTCCCACATTTTCCCATATCTTCTTGGGGATCGACGATGTATTGTGTCTGTGTGTTTTTCCCCCTCCAGAAGACCGAGGGTCGAATGTATGGAGCTCAAATCGCTCTGGAACTTACCTGACCCTCTGGCGGCCTCCAGGGACCCCCTGAAGCTTCTGGGGCCATCCGGGGGCCTATGGAGGCCAGACCTTCGACGGCGCCTGGTCGATCTTGGGAGCCTCTTGGGCCGTCATGGGCCGTCGGAAGGCCGAAAAGGGGCACATACCAATTCCTTCAAAAACCAAAGGAAAATCAATGATTTTCACCTCTTCAGGCCCTCCTAGAGGACGTCTTGGTGGCCTTGTGGGCCGTTTTGGAGAACCTCGCCGCCACGGCTGGATTCCCCCTTCGGAGTTCTGGTCAGACCGCAACCCTGGCGGGGAGGGGATTTTGAAGAAGACCCGACGCTCCGATGCTCACAGGGTTTCGATGCCAGCGCGCTTCCAACATGTCGGTCTCCACAGGAGACGGCCATGGGGGTACGATGATGCGAACAAATGTAAATTGTTGCCCGATTGGATCCCCATTCCCGCTCCTGCCTTGTCCTCCTCTTCCATCCACCCCTTCTCCGGTGGATGGCAGCCTCTCGTGCCATCTTGTCGGCTCTTGCGAATCGAGGCCAGTCGACGCTAAATCGACGCTCATCGACTCTGGCCGACGCTAAATCGGCGCGATTCCGTCGACTCCCAGACGCTGATCGACGCTAGAAGCGAACTTAAGAAGGTATACGAGGCTCCCATGATTTGCTACAGAACTCCTCTGCCTCGTCACCCTGTCGGGGCGAACGGTACTGTGCTCCTGGGCCGTCGTGTGACGTGGCCTCGCAGGCCCTGCCGAGGCGCCACACGGGCAGGCAGGCCCAGCTAGCTTCAACCCGCAGGGCGGCTGCCTGAGCCTGCCGAAGTAAGAACATCAGCCTGTTGGTTGGCGAACAACATGTAGCATGTCAATTCCGTCTCGCATAGTCCGCTCGCCGTCACGGCTAGTCGCTCTCAGTCGCCAAGGCTCGTTCGTGCCCTCTCGTTTCCGTTCGTCGCTGTCCTGCAATGTTCTGGCATAGGGCGCGAGGCATAGAGGAGATGAGGGATTGTTCGGGCCTAGCGGGATGCCGATTACGCACCCGTGGGCTGATTACGTCATTTTGTTTAGCCGCGCAGGCTGTCGCCTTCCAATCCATGTCTGCCACCGCGCCTGCCGCTTCTGCGCAGTCGCTGCTACGCTTGCTTCTTCTCGGGCCGGCGTGACGGCGTGAACCCTGTCATGCATGTTGAGTCGTGGAATGCTTCTATCACTATGCCTCCCCCATGGATTCTGCGGTTTTCTACCACGGCTTCTGTAATTTCAAATCGATCGTTGCTGCGTTTTGTGGTTCTCGCGCAAGCGTGACGTCGTGATGCCTGTCATGTCTGCAAAAATCGTGGACTGCGTCACTCTGTCTTATCCGGCTGTTTATCGTATTCTCACGTTGTCTACCGTGGTGCCCGTCGCTTCCACATAGTCGATACGCCTGTCCTGACTATTCGTGGGACGCCTACAGTACTTTGTATTGTTGCTGCAAGTGGTGCTTGCCGGGCAAGCGTGACGACGTGACGCCTGAAGTGGCAGAGTCGTCGAGGGATACGTCGCCTAGATCATATTGTCGCGCAGCCTATCTGTATGAATGATACTCATGTATGTAGTCATTTTCTTTATGTACGGTATTGATGCTTGTATTGTCCAGATGTGGAGCATATTTGTGCTACCTGCCGTCGCGCCTGTTTCATCTAAAATCGGTCGTTGCAGCGCTTGGTTTCTCTCGGACCAGTGTGACGTCGTGACGCCTGCCATGCCTTCGTAGGCGTTGGATGTTATCTGCCAAGTTGTATCATCATGCTCTCAAGCATTTTTCGTGATTCGTCTGCTGTGGCGCCTGTCGTTTCTGAGACTGGCATTGCTGCCTTAGTTTGTCGCGATTGATTTCTCGGACCGGCCTGACGTCGCGAAGTATGTCACGTCTGTGCAATCGCCTGTACCTGAATATATGTACCCTGACGCGTTTTATGACACTACATGGTCTCATACTCGCGCGTGCTTCTCGTAGTGTATTACTGACTTCATGTTCGTTGTGTACGTGTGCTGTGCGCGCATCTTGTCTGGAAGTGTGGTCTCCGTTCCTGAGTTGCACACCTGGTCGCATGCCTGCTCGATGTGTATCTTTACGCGTAATCAATATATATATACCAATATGCATGGTAACGGCCAGTCTGATGTGTGCAAACATGTTCAGATGCATGCATTTGTATTACGAAGTGTTTGGTGTGCGGCTGGTTGGCACTGTGACCAAATGTGTTACATGTGTCTGGTACGTATTCGTGTTGTGTATGTGTTTTGTGTGTGTGTGTGCCGCTCGTGAGTTGGCATCTGATCTGTGTGTCTGTTCTCTGTGATGTCATCCGTCGAGGGCGCGAGCTGGGAAACCTGAATACCACCAGGACCCTTGGGGACTGGCGGCCGCGGCGTTCGGCTCAGAATGTCATTCGTCGAGGACGCGAGGCGGAAGACCCAGGGACCACTGCTTTACACTTTGGGCCTGCCGGCTGCGGCATACGCGTGGCAAGCGCGACGGGCTGGGAACCTTTTCTTTGACATCAAAAAACCCTCCTGCCGTGTGTGAACCACGACCTTGGATGAAAGACTGGTCCCCTGAAGAGATAGAGAGGTCCATGCGGGCACGGTCAAACAATCACGACGACGAGGTCTGGGGTGATCGGGTGGCGGTTGTTCGGGGGACAGTGCACGGTGGGCGACCGAGGGTTGCAAGAACTTCGCGCCAAATGGTAAATGGGCTCGGCCAGGGCACGAAATACACACCCCGCCTCCCGAAGGTGCTGCAGTAGGTGAGCATTCTTTCATTCGGCGTTTCGACATTGGGCGGAAAGGGGGGGAGGGGGGGTGGGAGGGGGGGTCTGGCTCTGAACCTCTGCTTAGTGCGACTGTTTGCAACATGGCGTCCATTATGGGAGGGACTCCACCTGCCTGAAACAGGCGCCAAAAACAGCCAAGATCTACACCATGGGGGGGGACGGGGGGGGGGTGCGAGGGCCCGCGCCGATCGGCAACATAATGAATACGAAAACGCTCACCAGTGTACCTCCTTTCATCCCCGGCGTTTGCAACCGATTCGATGCCCGAGCGTCGCGAAACAAACCAACATCACGGTGCACGGCGGGCTTTCCGCCCCTTATCGGGTTCCCAGGGTCCTCGCAGGCTGATCCGCGGCTCGAGGGATCCAGCGCAAAGATCTGGTCGAAGTGTGCGGCCGTTGTTGAATCTATTTGTTTCGGTTAGCCATGACGTCGCCACTCTTCACACGACTCCTACGGCGTCCTAATTTTCCCACGGCGTCGAATATCAGGCGGGCCAGATCTCTGGCGTAGTCCTTTTTGACATCGTGGGCCCCTGGAGGTCTCGAACCCTTTCTTTCCCCGAGATCCGATACGCCTCCCAACCTGGGAACAAAAGTAAAAGAGTGATTTCTGGAGCCGAAGCTTGACTCCTGGACATGTCCGGGGGCGCGTTTCGAGCGCAATTTCGAAGGGAACCCAGCCGTTTGGACGAGAAGTTCCTGGGAGGACTATTCTCAACAATGCCAGACAGCTACTCTCAAAAACCTAGAAGGTCGAATCTCGAACATCGGACGAGCGGCCGAAGGTCGAGGGCTCGAGGGAGGGGGCTCAGCAGGCACAGCGATCGAGGGACTGAGGGATCGAGGGAGGGATGGAGGGAGGGATCGAGGGAGAGAGGGATCGGGATCGAAGGATCGAGGAAGGGGGCTCTGGGGACCACGTCGATGGAGCACCGGCACAGCAGGTCCGCCCCTTCGCCCTCCGCCGCTTGCATGTGGCAGGCGGCCGCCGCCAGCTTGGCGACCAGGTCGGGGTACGTCTTGGACAGCTGCGCCCGCAGGTGGGCCTCGTCGAAGCCCTCCGCATCGAGGAAGCTGTCTGGGGCGCGCTCTCCTCCGGAGATAGGGGAACACGAAACGACATACACATTAACTCTTCGCGGTCCGCGCGGATTTCTTGGATCTGAACTGGACCCCCCTCCCTGGCGCGCGGAGCGCGCCAGGGGCGGCGTCGGAGGCGCCGCCGTAGTGGCACATCGCGGATCCAAGAAAATCCGCGCGTAGCGCCAGAAGTTTCTGTTTATGGCGTGTGTGTTCTTTTCTCTCCGAGGGGAGGGCAGCAGTGCACTACCACCATTAAGTCGGTCATGCCCCTCTACAGGAGGAAGATCCAAAAACTATTCAAAAGTATTATGGGGACGATGTTCTGACCAATTTTAATACTTTTCGGATATATTTTATTTGTCGTCCAAATCCGCCGGTAGCAGGACATGCCCGACCTAATACTACTGTGCCTGGCCAGGGCCAGGGCCCCAGGACCACACCTGGCGTCGGGGGCAACGCTCCTCCTCCCTCCTCTCCCTCCTCCTCCCTCCTCCTCCTCCTCCTCCTCCTCCTCCTCCTCCTCCTCCTCCTCCTCCTCCCTCCTCCTCCTCCTCCTCCTCCTCCTCCTCCTCCTCCTCCTCCTCCTCCTCCTCCTCCTCCTCCTCCTCCTCCTCCTCCTCCTCCTCCTCCTCCTCCTCCTCCTCCTCCTCCGCCTCCTCCTCCTCCTCATCTTCCACGGCCTCCGTCTCCGCCCACTTCTTCGCCGACGTCGTGGCCCTCCTCAGGGTCGGCGGCACCGGCCGTCAGGCCTTCGCAGTGCTGCTGTGCCTGGCCAGGGCCGGGGCCCCGGGACCACGCCTGGTGGGGGGGGCACGGCCCGAGCGGCGCGTGCAGCACGCCAGCGCCCAGGGCGGCCCTGGCCAGGCACGGCGGCCTGCGGTGCACGGGTGCCCCCCGCGGCGCTCTCCATGCAAGTCGGGGGCCCCTGCGGACCGCAGCCCGAGCAGCCGCACGAGCACGCAGGCGCACTTCCGGAACTCGCGCGTCTCGAGCAGGAGGTCGCAGAACTGCATCGCCGCCTGCAGCCAGAGTTAGGTCGGGCCTGTCCCCCTACAGGCGGATTTTCGACGAAAAATAAAACATACTCAAACAATGCGCAACAGATACCCCAAAAGTACAAAAAATAGTCCCCAGACTACTACTATTTTTGAATAGTCTCCCTGTACAGGGACAGGCCCGACTGAAAGCCAGAGAGAACCGGGCAGAATCACACGAGCAGCACCTCTTTGGAAGGGCTGCGCGGATCTCTCGGGTCGGCGGCTGCACCTCAGTCCACACGTTACTTCCCGTGCGCGCGGAGGGCGGCAGCGGCGGCGCTGGAGGCGCCGCCCAAGTAGTGCGGCAGGGGGGTCACGGCGCCGACACGGTTTTAGCTCCCTGGCCCGTCGATCCAACGACGCGAGCTCAAAGGCGGGCCACGCCTGGAATAATTACCACCGAGCGTATGCCAGCGGGTGGCCAGGGCGTAACTGAGGCGCACAGGGAAGGGGACCCGGGCGCCGGCCCCAAGAGCCCCGCGCGTACCTGAAAGTTTAGGTTTTTTCTTGATCGCGCCAAGCCCAAACGCACACGGGTGCCATCAGTTCTGTCCATTACGTAAGCTGCGTCCCTGAGTCGGCCCACGCGGGCTCGAAGCTGACAACCTTCGAAGAAGGACACGAGGAGGAGGAGGAGGAGGAGGAGGAGGAGGAGGGAGGAGAGGAGGAGGAGGAGAGGAGGAGAGGAGAGAGGAGAGAGGAGAGGAGGAGGAGGAGGAGGAGGAGGAGGAGGAGGAGGAGGAGGAGGAGGAGGAGGAGGAGGAGGAGGAGGAGGAGGAGGAGAGAGGAGAGGAGGAGGAGAGGAGGGAGGAGGAGGAGAGAGGAGGAGGAGGAGGAGGAGGAGGAGGAGGAGGAGGAGGAGGAGGAGGAGGAGGAGGAGGAGGAGGAGGAGGAGGAGGATAAAGACCTGAAAATTCATGTTTGGGCAGTTTGGGGGGCTCTCTGGCCTTCAGGTCGATCCTCGGCGGCCTCTCCCGCCACCCGCGGACCACGCACGCCTCCAGGAGCTCGTGGCACTCGCGCCAGCGCTTGCACAGCCGCAGCAGCCTCGCCACCTCGCACGCCACGGCCTCGTCGCCGCTCAGCTCGAAGAGCCGGTACAGCACGACGATCGCCTCGTCGACCTGCTGAGATCTGCACACGGCGATCGAGGATAAAGAGAGACAGAGAGCGAGAGAGACAGACAGACAGATCCACCGCATCAGGCGAGCCTGTCCCACGACGGGGATGGGTGGGAAAGCACCGTGGCGCTACTCTACAGCATCCTGCAACATTCAGACTCCCATCTCCGCCATGCCGGGCGTCCTTGGTTGAATACCGATGAAATAAGACACGTTTTGTGTGCCCTGCCTGAGCCTCCACAGACATCCGAGGAGCTCTGGGGACGTCGGGCGTCAGAATTTAGGGGCGGCATTAACACCTACCGCGCCGACCCTGCCCAGCTGCAGGTGCAGCTTCGCCAGCTCGGCCATGGACTGCCGCTCCTCCTCGCTCCTTCAGGGACGCGCTGACCCGGGTCAGCCAATGCCGCTACCACTCGCTACATATACGTGCCGCGAGCCCCAGCCAGCCGCACAGGAGCTCCCAAATCCGGGCCAGCGGAGGGAGGGGAGGGTCGGGAGCGGCCAAGAGGGGGGTGTCCAAGAGGGTGGGGGGTGCAAATCATGACCGGCGGCATGTGCGCGGCCCATCGGGGGGACCAGGCACGTAATGAAATAAGAAGAGGCGCCATGAAACCTGGGGAAACGTCATGGCCCCCGCCATGAGATCCCCCCCCCCCTAGTCATCACCGCCCTCTTTGCCGCCCCCGATAGCGGAGGGAGGGGGAGGGGGAGGGTCGGCTCCAAATGGCTCCCAGACCGGGGCAGCCCGAGGGAATGCGAAGGGATCGGCTTGCCCCGCGGGCGCGCTGCCCGGGCTCCTCTCCCCGACGCTCTCGCCGGCAGAGCGCGACCCGAGGCTCCTCCTGTAGGCGTAGCAGGCCTGGTCGTAAGTCGGGCGTGTCTCCCTACAGGGGGATTTTCGACGAAAAATGAAAAATACCTCAAACATGCTCCAACATGGTCAACAAATACTCAAAAAAATATCCCCAGACTATTTGTTTACTACTTTGGAATATTCCTCCTGTAGAGGGACAGGCCCGACTAAGCCTGGTCGATATCGCCCAGCTGCCGCGCGAGCTCTGCGACCCTGCGCCAGGACCTTGAGGCCTCCTCGCCGCTGGTGAGGGCGGCGTACAGGGAGAGCGTGTCCATGGCCTTCCTCGCCTCGCCGCGCTCCTCGAAGATGGTGGCGAGCACCTGGTAGGGCTCCGCCAGCCCGCTCGCCGCCCGGATCACATCCTTCATGCTCCTCTCCGCCTCTTTGGGCGCCCGAGATGGGGCATGCACGGGAAACAAGTGGGCACGAAGCCCAGCAACACTGCCCAAAACCCTCCGCGGCCGCTGATGTTGGACAGGCGGCCTCCTGCCTCAACTGGAGCCCGCGCCCGCGGCGAAGGCCGGCAACGAAGCCTGCTCAAGAGAGGAGCAAGGGCTGGCGTTAGACTCTGTACCTGGTGCTTCCGTACCTACCCGTCTCGATCGCCCCGAGCCTCCGCGTAGCGGCCGTCCGCAAACTCGCCGAGCCCCCGGCGGTAGAGCTGCCCCGCCTCCTCGCCCAGGCTGCTGAGCGGGTTCGGCGCCGCCCTCCGCTTGGCGGCGCGGCCCCCGTCGCTCGAGCCGCCGCTCTCGTCGCCGCCCCTGTCCCGCGCGCGCTTCTGCTGAGCGCGCCGCTCCGACCAGAGCTTCAGCGTCCTGGCCCAGGAGAGGCTGTAACGAGCCCAGGCGCAAGAATCCCAGGCGGAGGCCGAGCACTCCGTGCGGACTTACGCCAGACGGACTTAGGCACCCATATCCCCGACGTCATGATTTTTGCATAGCGTCGACTCCAGAGGTCTCGACCCATTCCCTGGGACCAGTTTTTCATCCTGAGTCATTTTTTGACCGAGGCCCGGAAAGGGCCCCCCAGAGATCCGAAATCGCGAACAAAAACTCCCGTCGTAATTGTTTCAGGACTCGAGGGGGTCTGGGCATCCCACCAGGAGAGGCTAGAAGTCCAGGCGGGGTGAGCCCAGATGGGGCCCGAGCACTCCGTGCGGACGTGCTCCGCACAGACTCCGTCGGGGAGGCGTGGGACTCGGGTTCGGGGGACTCGGGTTGGCCCGACGGGGCCGTCAAGAACATGACGAGACCCAATCTGAAAATCGGCGCGAGCTCCCGCTGCACACATGCCACGAAAACTGGACCGCCAAGACCGAGGACGGGCCTGTCGAAAAAAGCGTTGGCAGATCCGACTCTGGCGCTTACGCTCTCCCAGCTTGGCCTCTTCCAGTCCTGGCGCTCTCGGGCGCAGCGGCGCCCCCGGAGTCCATCGCCTTCAGCGCCTCGTCCAGGTCCGAGGAGCCGAAGTCGGACTCCCCGCCCGCAGACGAGCTGCTCGACCCCGCCGCCCTGCCGCGCCGCCTGCGCCGCAACGCCGCAACACGAGATTGACCCCAAAAAGGACTCCTGACACCCTTTGGGAGGGGACCTAAGTGAGGAGGGCCAGGAAATTAGGGGGTCTCTTCTGCAGGGGTTTCACCAAACCGTCCAGAATTACTATCCCTGATGCGAAGAAGACGGTAACCTCAGTGAGGCTACGTCTTCATCGTGTTATTAGGTTTACTCCGAGCTTCTTGACAAGAGTCGGGGGTGACGCCCCGCATCCACCCCCGTCGCGGGCAGCCACCGCGCGCCGAAGGTGCTCCGACCCCCGTCGCGGAGCGACGAACAGGCGAGGCTGACCCCCGTCGGGGAGGTATCCCCCCACGCTCATCAGGAAACCCCGGAGTGTCCCTGATGCGAAGACGGGGACCTCAGTGAGGCCACGTCTTCATCGTGTTGTTAGGGTTCGGGGTTCCTTTACCCTCAATGAACGCACCGCCCGTGCCGTGGAGCCGTCTGCGAGCCCCGGGGGCCCCGAGGGCCCCAGCGGGGGGGGGGGGGCGGGCACCTCGAGCGGGCGCTACTTGGGGGCCCCGGCGCCCAGGGTGGGGTCTACAAGTGGGTCTTGGAACTGAGATGAGCACAACAGTTCTGTTGAGTTTGTGAAAGTTGTGGAAGTTAGTTTGAAGTTGAGGAAGATGATTTGTTTTTCATGTTTTGCTTGTTTCTTGAAAATCAAACTCCCTATATTCAACCACTGTATCCCCAAACTCCCCCCTATCTTCAACCACTGGCATTCCTGTAATTTTGCAAATTGCAACAAAAACGCGCTGCGAATTCAGATTTGGTTTGGTCAGCCACGTGTTTCTATGTCGTTGCGTTATGGTTGTCCCCAAATAGCGTTTGTTGTTTTTTGTTTGCCCAGCGCTTAGCTCATTGCGCTCCAGTTTGAATTCAATCAGGCGCTTCGCGCCCCCTTCGTCTCCTCCTCCTTCTCCTCCTTTTCCTCCTTCGCCTTCTCCTCCTTCCAACGTGCCAAGCTCCTCCTCCTCCGTCTCCTACTTCTCCTCCTCCTTCTCCTCATCCTGCTTCTCCTCCTCCTCCTCCTCCTCCTCCTCCTCCTCCTCCTCTTCCTGGAGCCTGGAGCGTGAAGGTCTGTATTTCCTCCAGGATGACGAGGAGGAGGAGAAGGAGGAGTAGGAGTAGGAGTAGGAGTCAAGCTAGCCAGCTCGAGCGAGTCAAGCATGGCATGGCCAGTCCCACCCGCCCTCCCACAACGTAAGAAGCAAAGCTGGCACAACTGGGGGCCGAAGTCACACCGGCCAGCCGGTTTGGTACAGCTGATGCGGCCGCGATGGCGGTTGCCGACGGGAACTGGCGAGCGCGTGTTGAATGCCGCGCACGCATTGCCAGACGAGTCGAGAATGGCCCGGTACACCGCAGGAAGCCAGAGGTGGCCGGAGGAAGCCCGACGGTCTGACAGGACACCCCAAGGGGGCCCAGGAGGCCCCAAGAGGCAGGAGTAGTAGTACCAGTGGTAGTGGTGTTGGTAGTGGTAGTGGTAGTAGTAGTACCATGTCACCCCTTCGCGCGGGGTGTGCGCCGCGTCCCATTCCTGCCACGCATTTTGCGACGTGACGACAGCACGACCATGTTGACAAGAAAAACAAAACTGTGTATTGTCTTTTGCAGATTAGAATGGGACGGATTGGATGGGCGGGCGCGGGGTGTGCGCCGCGTCCCATTCCTGCCATGCATTTTGCGACGTGGACGACAGGACGTCCATGCGACGGTGCCAATGACGGCGACGACTCTAAAAGAATTTGAGCATGCGCTCGCGGCGACGCGCGCGCATGTCGCCCGCGAGGTATTTTTTGCACAGGATTCGCGGCCTGGGTGCATGACAGAGCATCGCGAGTGCACCGCGCGATGACGTGAAATCGCTGGATTTGACCGAATTCTTAAGATTCCTATGGTTTTCCTATGATTTCAGCAAGAGAGCCCGGGCAGGAAATTTGTAGATTTGTTGTGAAAAAGCATTGGGTGTTTGATGTTTTTATGTTGAAATGCTTGCAAACACACGGTGTTCGGTAGGATTCTGACATGAACGCGCGCGTGTGCTCTTTGTGGTATTTTTTGCAATGGATTATCGCCGTGGACGACAGGACGTCCATGTCGAGAGGAAAAAATAAGAAAATGTTGATTTTGTATTGTTTTTTACAGTTAGGATGGGACCACCCGGATGTGGCCCCTATCGGCCGGCCTGAGGGGGGAGTAGGAGTATATTCTAATAAGGAATAAGGATAGGAGTCAAGCTAGCCAGCTCGAGCGAGTCAAGCATGGCATGCCCAGTCCCACCCGCCCTCCCACAACATAAGAAGCAAAGCTGGCACAACTGGGGGCCGAAGTCACACCGGCCAGCCGGTTTGGTACAGCTGATGCGGCCGCGATGGCGGTTGCCGACGGGAACTGGCGAGCGCGTGTTGAATGCCGCGCACGCATTGCCAGACGAGTCGAGAATGGCCCGGTACACCGCAGGAAGCCAGAGGTGGCCGGAGGAAGCCCGACGGTCTGACAGGACACCCCAAGGGGGCCCAGGAGGCCCCAAGAGGCAGGAGTAGTAGTACCAGTGTTAGTGGTGTTGGTAGTGGTAGTGGTAGTAGTAGTAGTAGTAGTAGTAGTAGTAGTAGTAGTAGTAGTAGTAGTAGTAGTAACAGAAAAAGTAGTGCTATGACAAGTACTTGCAGTACTACTAGTACTAGTAGTAGTATTAGTAGTAGTAGTAGTAGTAGTAGTAGTAGTAGTAGTAGTAGTAGTAGTAGTAGTAGTAGTAGTAGTAGTAGTAGTAGTAGTAGTAGTAGTAGTAGTAGTAGTAGTAGTAGTAGTAGTAGTAGTAGTAGTAGTAGCAGTAGTAGTAGTAGTAGTAGTAGTAGTAGTAGTAGTAGTAGTAGTAGTAGTAGTAGTAGTAGTAGTAGTAGTAGTAGTAGGTAAGTAGTAGTAGTAAGTAGTAAGTAGTAAGTAGTAGTAGTAGTAGTAGTAGTAGTAGTAGTAGTAGTAGTAGTAGTAGGGAGTAGGTAGGTAGGTGGTAGGTAGGTAGGTAAAGGTAAAGGTAAGGTAGGTTGGGTAGGTAGGTGGTAGGTAGGTAGGTAGGTAGGTAGTAGTAGTAGTAGTCGTAGTAGTAGTAGGAGTAGTAGTAGTAGTAGTAGTAGTGAAGTAGTAGTATAGTAGTAGTAGTAGTAGTAGTAGAGTAGTTAGTATAGTAGTAGTGGTGGTGGTGATAGTAGTAGAGTGCCAATGACGGCGACGACACTAGAAGGATTTGAGCATGCGCTCGCGGCGACGCGCGCGCATGTCGCCCGCGTGGTATTTTTTGCGCAGGATTCGCGGCCTGGGTGCATGACAGAGCATCGCGAGTGCTCCGCGCGATGACGAGAAATCGCTGGATTTGACCGAATTCTTAAGATTCCTATGGTTTTCCTCTGATTTCAGCAAGAGAGCCCGGGCAGGAAATTTGTAGAATTTTTGTGGAAAAGAATTGGGTTTTTGATGTTTTTATGTTGAAATGCTTGCAAACACACGGTGTTCGGTAGGATTATGACATGAACGCGCGCGTGTGCTCTTTGTTGCATTTGTTGCAATGGATTATCGCCGTGGACAACAGGACGTCCATGTCGAGAGGAAAAATAAGAACAATGTTGATTTTGTATCGTTTTTTACAGGTTAGGATGGGACCACCCGGATGTGGCCCCTATCTGCCGGCCTGAGGGGGGAGTAGGAGTATATTCTAATAAGGAATAAGGATAGGAGTAGGAGTAGTAGTATTAGTAGGATTAGTAGCAGTATTCTTACTATTACTATGATTAGTATTATTATTATTGTCATCA